CATTATCAAAACCAATGCTTTGTCCTCTTTCTATATGGTCCATTGCTATAGCTCATCCTCAATGCAGATGTCATTTCTAGGTTGACGTTTAGATATGACCATTTGCATTCATCCGTCGACTACTTTACCGCATATATAAATAATTTACTTCATTCCAAAAACAGTACTTATAATGCAGAATGGAATTCTCAGCATTTGTCACGATATTGCATCTGATTTACTTAAAATATAAATTAAATTAAAAATTAAAACAAAAGTAATGAGGGGAATTTGTCCACATTTACGACATAAAGTCAAAAATATTCTAAGCACGAATTGAGATCATTAAATATAATGATAATAATAACAGTAAGTTTGTTTCAAACAGTATTGTCGATTCAGTTTGGAAATTTTAGCATGTATATTATAGAGTATTGAATCTAATGTTCTGTTGATGTAGTATAGTGAGGGGATATACAAGATTAACAGTGGTAACACAGCTTAAACGATGTTCACAATTATGAAAAATAAATAAATAAAAACAAAAAAATTGAGAGGATTATAAATATAAGAAATACAATAACAATAAAGTTTGGTACTGTAAGGGTGGAAGAGATGGTTGAGATATCATTAGGTTGGCTGATGTCAGGTGTTGGGAGTAATGATTCCAAGGCATTTCAGTTTTCCACTCACCTCACTGTGTATATACATGTATACTTTAACCAAATTAGAAACATAAGTTGAATGTTTCTACCTGTAGTAATTTTTACACAATCAAACACTAAACTGCTGCAAAAATAAACTGGATCTCATGCAAAAACTGTCCTTGTTTAAAGAATGGAACGAACGTGATATCTGAAAATTCTTGAAAACCAGGGCTCGTTTTATGAGGAATAAAGAAAACAGAAAAAACAGTTAGAAACATAAGACAATAATATTCTTTCATGCATGATAGGTCAAGTTAGTTTTCAAACGCTAGACACAACAAAACGTATCATACATTTGTGTGCATTTAAATGTGCGTAAAATTCTGTATAAGTGTAGAAATATAAGCACAATTCAGTCTAGATTACATAGAACTAAGCGATGGAATAGTCTGTAATTTTCCGTATGCAAATAAGGCAATTATTTTTACACGAATAATAATTCATTTCTTTGTGGTATTTCAATGTTTCAAAATATTAAATATTCCCACAGTAAAATTTAGTACAACACATTTAAACGAACAATAGTATTTTCAATTAGATCTCATAGGCGTAACTCTAATATACATAACTTCATAAACAAGGATTCAAAAATAAACCAAACACGGGGTTTCGCCCAAAAGATGATAAGATTGTGCATATAAATTGTGCAATTAGTCATAACAATAGTAATGATAATGATAATAATGATTCTATCAATAACAAGGATAAAAAAGTGAGGTGATCTATGATAACAAGAATAACGAGTAACAGCTTGATTGAACGGACAAATGTCCACATGGACATAGTAGTCGGTAAAGGCTAAGAAAAACAAGTGAACCAATTAAGTATTAGCAGTCATAAGGGAAGTAAATGAAATACGTTATAATGAAGATGTGATAAGATAAAGGGATGATAAGCGAGGGGTTGGAAATGTAAGTAGGGGTTGGTTGAGAAGTAATACCAATGTATAATTATAATTTATTTGGTGGTGTAGAAGTCATTAGTTAGTTATGTCTTAATAGGCCAATGGAGGGATAATGGATGTACGAACTTCTTTTGACTACATAGTCTAGGCTTATTAGTTTGAATGACTATCACTTCAGCTGTGTCTTGTAGACGAATAAAAAGTCTATTGGAAAGATTAGGTGGGATGCGATGAAATACATTGAAAGCCTTCGTTTTATCCACTACGTGACCACTATCAACTAAATGTGACGAAATGAAGCTACGGATAGTTTTTTTCTGTCCTTTGCCATACTGCGATGACAGATGTTCAGTAACAGGTTGGCTAAGCTGTCCAGTAGTACACCTAACATAACTGTCATCGCAGGTGCATTAATGGGCACGTTACTAATATTAAAAAATAAAATTTTAAAAAATTTTAAATTTTGATTACAGCTTGATTCCACACTGTATTTTTGGTACAAGTATGGAATTTTCAGCATGAATATCGGTAGCCCAAAATTCGCAGGCCGACCATAGATATCAGGTGTGCGTTGGCTGGGGATCGAACCTCGGACCATTTGCATGGTCGGCGAGAGTCCTAACCACTGTGCCACCGACGCACCGAAGAATGAAGGACAAACGTATCACTATTGACGAATGTGCCACTTATCGAAACGGTAGATTACATTTGCCTAGAAATCACCGAAAGTCAAATGTACTTAGGAACTCCCTTGTTTATTACGCGAACTCACTTCAGATTTCTTCGCTTAATCATTTGAAAAATACGAAATTAAATACAAGTTTAGTTTTCTTCTGCTTTAAAGTTTCTGTAGCAAAAGAGCTGTTTGTTACAAGAGGAGGTTGTTAGCTCACACTCACCTTTCTGTATTCACCAGTCTTAGGATCGCCTAGTTAACTAGGCGTGGCAAAAAACATGGTATAAAACAGCTAATAAGTGTTATTATTATTATTATTATTAGCATTAATAAATTCTGTATTAAAAAGTTTTTTTAAATGGTGAATTTATTTTACATTTATATCACATTTGTCTTTTGTATTTCCAACACAAGATCAAAAAGAATGTACTAAGTTAATTTTTGATACATAATAAGGAATTTAAAAGGACTTTATCTTCGAGATCTCAAATAACACAAATTGATATTTGCATTTCTAGTCAAAGGTAGCCGGAAATTTAAATTTACCAGAGAAGAAAACTGTTACACATTGAAAAACTAATACATTCCAATACGTTGAAACAATATTGCGAAAGTCCCCGTTTGGAAATTTAGAAGGCCGAGATAATGATCGAAAAAATATTCACTTTTCAATTAGATGCTAATTTCTGACTCTACACTAATATATGCATAACAGTTTTAATACAACACAGAAATTTACCTATTTAGTGACAATAAGTTTGTTAATAATATTAAATCAACATCAACACGTCACTGAGATGATAATTAGGCGAAAACATTAATGCAACAATTAAAGGTGGGGGAGGGGGGAAGTTTAGAAACATTAAACAAGTGAATTATAAAATGCAGAATTTTGGGAAAATAAGAATAGCAATCAAGAAATAAATCCATGTTCAAACTGGTTACGTAACAAACAATTAAAGACAAAGCAGTCAGAATAATAAAAAAGTTAGGAGGATAACAGCCTACAAATGGATAAATAAGAGGGAAAAACTGTTAGCCCCTTCTATCCAAGTAATGCTGGCAGAGGTAAGGATATTGGCTGCTTACATTACTTCTGAACACACAGGTTTGTCTTCTTCAGGTGGATTACTATATCCTAAACTGTATGTAAAAGAATTGTTCGTAAAGCAAAATTATTACTGGTTTGAAGGTGATCACTAACTTTGAATGCTATATTGACGTTAAATCTATGCTCACTATTTATAAGATGCGCTATAACAGAGGTGTGAATAAATCTTGATTGTCCCTTGCTCAACTGTGCAAGATCACGTACGGATATTCGATGGTGTGGACGCATAAATGTTTGCCCAATTTTGGCTCTTAGTTAATTATCGTCTCTGCAACGTGTTGATACTGACTAAAACTTGTTGGCGAAATTATCATCAGTAGACTGGTAAATTCCTGTACTCTTATAAAATTGCTATACATATTAAATATTAGAGTAAATATTTCGTCACTCATTTCTTCGGTGTTCCAGATGTACACAAATATTATAAATCCATCCGTATTCAAGACTCCTTTAAAAATTAATCACTGTTTGTTCACTATCATCCTGATCGCAAGCAGATGAATAACTTTCTGCCAGTCATTTCTATTGAATGTTTACAAGATATGAAGTTGGATAGATAATAGGTTTTGTTCTCAGTTACATCTACACAAAATCATATAATAAGGTACGATAGTGAAACAGGTTAAATACTAAATCCTTTTCCATCGAAACAATAAGAAGAATGACATATCTTTCAGTCGAGTAATTAGATATGCAAAAATAAAGTGAAACAAATTTACAACTGCGGATGTAAATATTCAAATATTAGAAATGAAAAGTGAAGCATCAACATGAAACCGCCATCCTGAGATTTACCACAAAGAAACGGTTTGGAATAATTGACTTCTGCAAAATTAATGATAGTTATCACTGGTTCATGATTCACTTAGGATTTCATTTTGCTCAAACCACATATTTGGAATTAATCTGTCTGCTGTCAGCATTTAATTAACGCAAGTAACAATTATAGTGACTAAGATATTTACCACGACACAAATCATTATATTTCAAGGGTTGAAAAGTTGTTGTATTACTTCTCACTTATCTTGAAGAAATTTGTGATTATAAGGCTAATGAGACAACAATTAATTTTCAAGTAGGCGTTTATCTTCTACCTATGCGTCTACCAAGCGTCTACAGCAACAATGCCACTGTCGTGGATGGTATCAAACGGAAGCGTAAAGTGTTGTGTTTAGCTTTCTATAGAATGTAGTGTTGCAAAAATTAGCTGTAGTGTTGCCCTAAACTTGTCAAAATTAATTAGAAGGAAAGCTGTTTTAGCTAATATGCTAATTCTGAAACGAATGCTTTACTAACAAACGCTGGTTATATCTACATGTGAATTTAAATTAACCTCTTAATGAGGTTAAGTCGGCCTGGTGAAAACTTAAAAATTTTATCTCAGTGTCTGTTGATTCCTAATTCGCATTGAATCACAGAAATTAGTGTAGCATGGAAATTTCATGAAGGTGGGACTAGTGACCACTGCTGTTCTAAGTAAAAGGCACTTTTACTGAAATCTTTTTATTTAATGACTATTTATTTACTTCAAAACATTTTGAAATAAGATAAGGAATTTAAAAAATATTCCATCTATGGAAATCTTCTAAACTGATAAGCATTTCTTTCTACTTATATCACTAGAACTTTCTTGTGGAGATGGACAGAAGTTTTGAACGCTCAAACACGTCGGAAATAGAAGATATCATTGAAATTCCAGAGGATTACAAGTAAGATTTACTATCAGTGTTCCATCATTCACAATAGCTTACCGATGACATTAATTGCTTTATACCCATAATGCCTCAATTAAATTAATAGTCAAATAACAGTGTATTTGGTTGCCTAGATTAGAACCAAATTGAGAAATCAAATATACAGAAGCAAAATAAGTACACAGACATGCAACTAATTATGTCTTCCACAAATTTTTGTGTGAATAATAACGGCTAGTGGCAACAATTGAATACAGACTTATTCTAATATATTTTTCTACACATCAGAGTAATTCACATGCAGAAGATTTGCGCCCAAATAGGTAAATTCAACTGAGTTTATAGTCCAACACTAAAGCCATACAACGATTAACAACCCACAAAACAACTTTTTCCCCTTATAACTTTGAAAGCTTATTACTTCAACAAAAATCTGTAGGTTTATTAACTCTAAGATCTTATGAGGTGACGCCATAGCTCAATGTTTAAAGTCACATTTAAGCAAAATGCCCGTCTAAATTACATTCGCTTTTGTATTGTTTGCAGTCGCAGACCACTTACAGAGTGGACAACGTATAAAGATTAAAGGAGAGTAATCAAGCTAAGAGTAGGAGACAGGTGTCACCCTTTAGAAGTAAACCGCATTTCTAGTCAGAAATTTCAGCCACTGTACTAAATCTAGTTAATTGGTCTGATAGTGCTTAATCAATAACTGACTAATATTCTTTTTGAAATTGGTACCAAGCATAACAATTAACAGACTTTTCCTTCTCCCTCGTTTACAACGAAATTTAGTGGTTTGGAAGAAATGAAAAATTGTAAATCGCCAACAGTAAGTCCAGAAGATTTAATTCAAAGCAAGCCTCCTAAGCACAGAAGATATTCTAGTTGGATATGGCTATGTGACATGACAATTACAAAAGAACGTATTAGGCGTCAGTTAAATCGCAGCAAAACAACTGTTGAAGAACACCTTTGTTACCCGTGGTTACGACGTTTATTCTTCCACTTATCAAATTACTTCCCAAATTTGCATACCACTAAATCGTCAAGAAGACGCCGACCACATTCAACCAACTTATCAGCAACATCATCTTTATCGCATCGACAGACTGATTTAAATACTAGTAAAACGTCTAATTTTTATGCCCATGATCCGACGAATATAGCATTTAAAGATTGTGAATTTCGACAGTCGACCAGGATAAACCCATCTAGGTTTGCTGATCCGAATGCCGAACTACGGCGCACAAACAATTCTCCAAATATATCGTTTAGAATGGGAGACAGTGGTAGTAGTATTAGTAATGGAAACAGGAACCTTAACACTAGATCAAAACGGAGACCGCTACAGAGACAGAAATCAAACGGATTTACCGAACTTGATGTAGAACTAGAGACAAGCATCAAAGGAAGGTAAATGTATTCAGATTTAACTATGATTTTCCATTAACATTTGGCGATCCATAGATCGGCAAAATTCGTATTAACTTCATTGTTTTGTGTCCTCACAATTTTGAATGGGGAATGTAAACGTCTGCGACTCATTATCGCACTGACGGACATGCAGATCTATCTAGAGGATCAGGGAAACTTTGATTCTCAAACTATGGTTCACATAGAAACCAGCATACGAACATATCGAATGACTCCATTATGGATAAGATTTCATTTTCATAAATCATACAGTGTTATACGGTAATATTAACTGATGACGTTTCGAGCACAAATTATTGCTAAGAATCATATCAAGTTGATATGATATGTGTGATTTATCAAAATGAAATCTTATCTATAATGGAGTTATATTCTACCACAACGCCCAAGTTTTATACTTATATCAATGTCGAATGGCTTATGAACTTGTTTCGGGCATTGAAGGCCATTGGAACGTACCTTCTGAATCTGCTCCACTGCCACTGAGATCATATTTCAAGTCAAAGGATCATGGATTAGATCGTTGATCCACGTACTTGCTTTGATCTGATCGTCGGAGCTGTATCTGGAACATATTCCAACCACCTTTTCTTAAACCATCCACTGTTTTGACATTTACGTAGGAATTGTCGTGCAATACGTCGCACCTTGGTCAATATATTTTGAACGTAAAGCACTCTAGTGAAACATGCCACACACTCCAACTACGGGTAAGGAATTTCTTCAACCTTTACGCTTACAATGAAAAATCTGTCAATACTCATCCGGCGGCAGATGTTCACTTTCGTAGATATACAAATAAGAAGACACGCTTTGAAAATGAGATTATTGACTTTAATAAATCTTGACTAATTGATTTCAAGTATTACGAAAAAATTAACTGTTCCACTGATCAACCTTCAGTTTAACGATTTCGATATAATTTGGTCCTCAATTCAGTTTCATTCTCATTTGAATGACTGACTAATAAATTATCTGACAGAACATACTAGGCATCAGATGTTAGCAGTTTTGACGCAATAACAGTTGTTTTAGAGTCATAAATACACGCCGAAAAGAATAATCACTTTGCTAAAGTGTTTATTAGTGGCAGGTTGGATACTTTTTTATGTTCAAAGCTCCGATGTCGTGACACCGGTCAATATTGTGTCTTAAGCTAACCAGCGGTGAAGAATAGTTCATCTAAATAAAACCAAAACTAATTTCTCACAAATATTATTGTAGCCCTAGATTTACATGCCTGAATTTCACTCTTTTCACAGGGAAGTTTGAGCTTTTTTACTGAAAAATTATAAATCTAAGCAAAATTAATTTTTATGGGCAAAATGCATGTATCCTGAAATACATGTCCACCAGAATATCCATTAAAATCAAAATACACAAGACCAGAGATTGCGTTTTCTGCAATCCAATAGTCATAGAGATGACTATACAAAGTATTAAGTAGCATTGATGATTAAAGTTGACCTTTGTCGTTTTGTAGAACTTGCTGACTGAATCGGTGAAAAATGTAGTATATCAGCCACTGCTATGTATCGACTTCTAACCATATATTGAACAAAGTTGAAAATCATGGATTTTTTTCATTCGATGGCTTTTCGGTTGGTGTTGAATTTTAATAAGAACTTCTTTCAAAATAGTTTCACGCATGAAATGAGCCGTTTAAGCTATTTTCTTAACATTTTTAAAAGTTGTCATACTTTCCTTTCCCCCTAGACAAACCTCAGGATCGTCATCTGAAAACACCACACGCATCTTACCGGCTGCAATTACAAGCAAACACTCTCAGATAGAGGCGAATTCAATTCACCGAATGAGAGTGGCTGATGACAACTCAACTGATCATAAAGTCCCAGAAAAAGAGAACTACTCTCCACCAAAATCAGACAGTGATAAAAATTCACCGCTACTGAGTCCAAAAATGTATAATTCATCAGCAGAATACAAAAATCACTTCCATTTACAATCTGTGAATGATGAACGAATTACGCCTAGATCATCTGGTATTAAACTATCCGATAATCTTATAAGGCCAAAAAATCGTCGAGCATATATGACACGTTCAGCCAACTTGGTCTACGATACACTAGATGAATTCTCAGATAACTTCGTTGTTAATGACCGGTATAATTCTGTTACACCAGCAAATCTCAGAGTATACAGTGATAATAATAATAATAAACGATAATTCGAATAATATCAACAATAACATTACTATAAGTAAACCTGTCAGTCATCGTGAAATTCCTGGTAAGTTAAATATTACTATGGTTTTGAAACAGTTATTTTACTGTCAAGAATAATACAAAATAGGATGATTTTACAGAAATATAAAGCAGAAAATCAACTAATAGTGGTTGACTAAACAACCAGTTAAAATTCTTAAACCAGTCGCTACAGTAGCACTCTGGTGACTCCAAATGAGCTTCTATTGAAATACGTAACGGACATCATGACAATGACAACCAACACCAAATATAAAACATTGCGATTTTCGAGCATTCCAAAACGCAACTACAGTGCTAACTTGATAGGTGCAATTCTGTCCGTACTTGTTGCCAATAAACATGATAATGATTGCTATAATTGAGATGAAAATAAAAATTAAGCAGTCTGTATGTATATTGGTTTGTCACAGATTCCACAACGAATTTAATCAAAATCTATTAAAAACTAAAAATGCGAAGATCAGTTTCCAGCTCACTGTACGATGCGATGAATATCCTCAAGCTGGAATGTGAAGTCTTCGCCGACAGACTCTAACATGTTAAAGCGAAACGGAATTAACTGGTGGTAGCGATGTATGACGAACGGACAGAATTCAGAGTTATCGAGAGGGCGAATTCCAAAACAGTGGCTGAATAGTTAACTAGCTCGCCTCTTAACTTGAAGCTTATAGTTCCGATCCCTGTATCAGAATAATCAATTACTATGATTTCCATAGAATGTTTCAAAATTCTTTAATTGAAATTACAAGATTTTTCCAAACACATCGGTGGTTTTAATAAACCAACATTTTAAGCGATAAAAATAAAGGTGTAGGAGACAAGTGAGAACTTAGCAGGCACTGAGAGAATGGAATATCTTCAAAGAGCTCCTCTGCTCTGTAAGTGATATCTGTTACTAAAAACACCACTATAAAAGGAGACACAGATACATTAATTAATGAAAAGCAATGTCTCATGATACCACCCCATTGTTCAAAAGCAGAAGAACCTCTAAGGAAATAAAAAGTTTGTTGAAAGCCACTCACAAATATCAACTTGTTTCTTCATCTACAAAAGTCTTCATTGTAAATTTCAATCTTCTTCTAAAATGGTCGTTTTCACTGATTTCAAATCTCGACTGGAAACGCCGAAATACTTTGATCGGTAATGAACAATGTGTGTTTAGCATTGCATACCATAGCAAAATTAGCTTAAATGTCTCTTCTGCCATGAGATGACCAAAAATATGCATTAATCAGACTTTTTTGAACTGGTAAATTAACTGATCACTACAGACTAAGTAACAAAATGACTAGCGGATAACACTTTGGCGTTTGGAAAACTGGAGGTTGAATTTCATTTTTATTGGGCATGATATCACTCACTAGGATATAAGCACACTCTGCTGAAGAATTACATATTAGCTATTAAGGGAAGATTAATTCCAGTTGTGTAAGACAATATGACTTCTAAAGTTTCCCCATGCTGGGAAAAATTTCACTTCCTGGGACTAAATTTAGACTTTGTAAAATATCTTTTCACCTTCTTTTAAAACAATACAATAAGTACAATTAAACAAATGCTTCCCACTTAATCCACTCAGATAATCAGTACTGCATTCAATACAAACGAGTAAAAGCAAGAAGAACAAGTTCAAGTTCCCAAGCCGAGTTCATTAAAACGTCGAAAAACAAAGGATGCATTAAAGATAGACCGGTACAAGACAATTATCAATCAAACATTTATTCTTCAAGGCAAATAAATGAAGACTATACTAATTGCACAGTAAATCCTGGTATTTACGCATTAAATTGTTTACCAAAAGATCAAGATCCGGTACAAAAGCATATAGAAACATGGTTAAAAGAAGCTGTAGCTCGAAAAACACAAGGGAAAGTGCAGTAAGTTGACATTTATATATTCACATGCAGGCAAATAACAGTTCGTATATATAGACATATTTAGTAAGATTTTTTAAGTTCCAGATAGTATAATTATTTTTCAAAATCACATTGAATTTCTATTTATTTTTCAATTAGTATTACACATGCTATATACTACTCTCACTTGAACAGCAACAGAATGGCACTGAACTACAGATTATTGCAGCCATTTGAAATTTATTTCCTTAACATATGACATAGTCATATGTTAAGGAAATAAATTTAAGTAATATTCTTCGCCTTAACTTTTCACGCTATGATCTCCTAAACTCAAAGCAAACTTGTCTCGGGAACGAACGGTACTCAACTTATTTCATTAGTTCATTCGAATAAGCTGAACTAGAAAGAAAAACAAAACACCTACAAATTACATTTTTAGTCTAGATTCTAAAATTTTAGAGTATAAGTAAATATCACATAAAGGCAGTGAAACTAGTAGAGATTTTTATGAAATTTAGTGCACTTTAATATCTGAACCTGTGTTTCATTTTCATCGATTTTCTTTGAAGAAATGTACTTACTTACAATCCTTCAAAAGCTCACACTTCCACATACGTGATATTACCGCACAGTGTGAGATAAAGATGCTAGTCAAAAACTAGACTTCACATTTTGTATGCAGAGAGATGGCATTTAAACATTCCCAATAGTTCTCAATAAGCATAAAGCAGAGGATCACAGTCGTCAGCTGATAGGAATTGGAATTAGGAGTATCGCTGTGTTGTATAGTTATGCTTGTTGGAAAAATGAAGATGTCAAACGCTATAGCATAACTTAGCAAGAACACAAAATCATTTTCCGAATATCTGGCAGCGTTGAATAAAATTTCAGCATCGTTTTACATGATAACCCAGAGTAACTGGCACATTCAACGAGCAGAATGGAATTATTCCGAAGTACTAGTGTATATACACTGATTGGTAATGCGTCTGACGTTTCAAAGAGTATTCTGATTCAGAGTTTGCTGAGTACTCTTCTGGTCTTGTATGCTGAGTCCGAACTCTATGTTAGATCAAGGTTAGAAAGCCTTAAACTGTAAGTTCACTTGGTCTAATAGCTAACAATCGCAAAACATGGATGATTGACCAAATGAGTATGATGCTTTTCCTTTAAATATTACTTTATAGCTCTTGTGACTCCATAAGTAACTGATCAACAACAAAATAGCAAAAGCAGTACTGTTCAAACTAATAGTGTTGCTTAGAAAATGAAGTACGTAAATAGCATCATAATCTGAAATTATTAGAGACCAAAATACTTTTTTTCATTTGTTTGTGGTAAATAGTTCGCTTAAAATTCCTAATGTCATTCATATTTATGTTGTTATGCTTTTTATCAGTCGGACAAGTACATTCGTAAAATTATTATTAATAATAATAATACCTTTAGATGAATCCGGTTTATAGGTTCATAAAGTGGTTAGCAGAAGTTCACTGAAAGAGAAAGAAACCAAGGAAGCATGAACCATAAGTTCAGTCATCTTAACATTGATTACCAGAATCTGCTGACTTCATATTTCTAAAATTGATCATAGTGAAGGGCAAATGAATAGCGATTTCATTTGCAGCGTACAGTTTAGGTGATTTAACCAAAATGTTTTCGAATGATTTACTGATCGACGTAAGAAATGATATTATAATCCAAAATGTATATGTATTTACCGTTATACATTCTTATTTTCCTTAAACACTAGAATTCGAAGAAGTCACATGTCACATGTAAGCAGTGGTGAGGCTCAAAGAGAACCACCGGAAACTGTTACCCCACAACCTCACAGTTTTGACGCTCCAGTCTCACTGTATCCTGATGAGTGCTTATTCACTGCTGGATACATACGGCGTAAGCCATTTAGTACCAGCCTGCATACATCAACTGATAGCCAGCAAATCAAACAGCCATCGATTACAAGAGACAGTATCGATGCACCCTGTTATTATGAACCTGCATTCGAAAAGTACACCGAAATAAACAACAACGACAATAGAACAAATGAAAGGCTGAATCTGCCCCTATATGATCACACGAAATTATATCGTAGACATAGCGATAATCCAATATCTGAGGTATGCAACAAAAATTATGAACTATCTCAAGAAATTCGTCATGTCAGTCACGCTACTCATAATACTAATAGTAGCCACACAAGTAGGGATTATGATTTTTCACCGTTTAACACTGATCGTTTATTGGTGACTAACATATCACGCGAACGTGCCAGTTCGTTTCAAGAATCAAATCAGGTAAACAAAGAGTATCCATATCATTTTAACAATCATGATATTTTTAATAATAAAAGGCGTTCGTACAATAAAAATAACAGTAATAATTTATCCCTTAGTCATCATGTAAATATTATGCATACTAACGTCGAAAGATCAATAAATCCGGCAAACTTAAAGCAGAGTCATAGTTTCAGTGAAAGGCACAAAATTCCCAAACAACCGATATTTACACCTCCATTACAGAAATATCGTCTCAAGCACACCTTATCAGAGGAAAACAGAAGAAATATGATGCCTTCAGTGTGCAGTAACATGAATACATCACAATCATTGCGTAAAATGATAGATTTAAACAAATCCCTACAAATCTCAATAGATTCGAATTATAGCCAGCACATAAACTATGAACTAAACAGACGTGATTCAAAATATTCTAACATGCTACAGCCTAATTCCTCTAGTGACTATTCCGTATTTCATCCACATCTTTTAAATATGCATAGTGAAAGACGCTATTCACGACACTTAAAGCCATTGGACGCCTGGCAAAATAGACAGTCACACAGTATGGAGATTGTCAACACTATACCTATCAATCAGCGTTCGTCATCCAGCCCGCAGAAACGCAGTCCGTTATCCAAGCAAACAGCTATTCGTAAATTACCAGCTGTTTATAGTCGATCGCTTCAACATTCCACGTGTTCATTTCCAGTTCATTGGGGTGGCTTTCTCAGTGGACCAACACTATCTCTCACATCAGCATTTGATTCGTCAAGTTTAACGCCCGATTCCCTAAACCATAAACACTTTTTTCGTAGCTCTTTAGATTCTCACGAAGCGACACAGCCTGTATTATTGCAGCAACAACAACAACAGCAACAAATTCAGCAACGATTACAAAAGTCTTACAGAAATATGTTTTCAGCCTCAGTTTCGGAATCACCCAACAATTTGATCGGAACAGAGGAATCGATAACAAGCAGTCGACATGTTAAGAGTTTACACCAGTCGCGAATAAACTTATTACCATGGTCATATAACAACAATAGTAGTAATCTCACACAACCGCTTGCACGTAAAGTCCACAGTTTTGAATTGAATTCTAACCCTCACTACCAAAAATTATTACCTGATCTTATTAGGAATAATTCAACTCTGTTAAAAGTCAACGACAATCAGTTATCTGGACATTCAGCTTACTCCTCAAGACGTGGTTCATCAAATAGTAATAATTCCGTGTTCTTCCCTAAAGAAGGGAGACTTTCTAAGCCCAAGGTAAATAGCGAAATTGCCTCCGTTCAAAATTCAGTATTCTACAATGCCGACAATTACCACAATCCTAAAGGCAATAACACCCCCAATACTGATACTGTGTCACAATCAGTAGTTCCAGACAGTTCGGTGAAACCAATAGAAAAGCTTATACCACCGGATCTTATTTTTAGTCCAGCATCACGACGTGCTTCAATGATGGATGAAGATATATCGGGCATTCAGGATTCAACTTTAAACGTCACAAGTGGCTTAACAGAATTTTATTTAAATCACTCAAATGATGAAATCAATACTCCCAATGTGTCTATCGAAACACTTCACCAAGACGTCATCAGTACAAAAGGTATGAATAATACAAATCCACTTTATTATAAAAATAAACATCCCGGTCAACTAATGTCGACCCATTTACATGAAGCAGATCAACACAACTACATATCACACCATTACTTTCTAAAGTATAGCAGACATAAGTCAGCAGATACATTCATCACACGAAATGGACTGAATTACTTTAAACATTTCTATTCTCATAGGAATAGTTCAACCATTCATCAGAACTCTCCAAATTTACCCGAAAGCTATTCTTCGTCAGATCATCATAGAATAATACCACCATCACAATTACCTATATTAATCAATAAAGCCTATAAAAACACTTCCCAATACCAGTCACATATACATGTGGCATGTTGTTCACAAACTGACATGAGAAATATAGAAAATGCATGGGATTCTTTGGGTAAGGTTATCAGTAATTATCCTAAACATATTAAAAATGCCAGCACAACAAACTCTGATTTTGATTTAACCCGCCACCAAACCTTTCCAAATGCTAATAATGAAGATAACTATAATGATGACAGAGGTAATGAACACAATATCGAAACGCAAGACTCACTCGTTCAAATACAGCCATCATCAGACGAAGAACTCAGTGATAAGTCTGTACCTGAATCTTTAACATCATTATCACTGGTATGCAAAGATTATCTCTTCAACAGTTCCCGTGGAAATGAGATAAACACTGTTGATCCGTTACTTTTGAAGCCTTCCTTAAGGCCGATTGTTGACAGCAGTGAAGAAAACACGAGTGACCCATATGAAAATGATACCTGTTTCATTGATCAGTCAGAACTCATGAATATTTCGCAGAAATCAACAGCCACATCATCCGCCAACCTAATACAGTCAGCGTATCAAAGAAACAAAAGTTCAACAGTATTAAATACGAACGTTTCAAACAATGATAAAATTGATAGTCATGATGCCAGACGAAGAAGTTTTCTGGCTAGATGCTGGCAACAAGCTATTCAGCAAGATGATGAACAAGGTCATGAAGACAACTGCAATATTTATGAGTCGGGAGACGAGTTCAGGAAAAAGAAGAAAAAAATAAGTCGATATGAATCTACAGGTGAACTGAACCATTACAAATGTAAATACAATGGTGGCAGTGATATCCATAGAAAAGATTATGAGGACGATTGTGCCGATGACATCGACAAAGAGAAAAATCTGGGGGACCCAACAACAGCATGTAAAAATAAATCACTAAATAATACACGTTGCAAATCAAGTGAATCCGGACTAAACTACTTATACAGCAATAGAAATGATAATAATCATCAAATCAATAGTAGTATAGTGAACAGTAGTAATAAATTATACTTCAAACAAATTCCACTATCAATGCGTTACCGACAACAAAAACAAGAAACAGAAGACTATTATAATACAAATATCAAACCCCAATAAAATCAAAATATCACTGAACACCATGGTTTGTATAGTATTAGACCTTATTCTATGAGACATATATATATATATATGTCCAAATGGGTTGACAAACTAATGCCTGTTTTACAAAATACAAAATGAAATAGAATACATGTTTTTTTGCTGGCTCGATTTTTTTTAATCGTTTCTTTAACAAATGCTACGGGAGCAAATAAATATATACATATGGTAAGTTAACAAGTAGGGGTCCAGAGGAACAAACTCACCAATGATCAAGAAACGCAACAGCAGAGAAAGTTAGCTAAACCAGGTAAAAGACACAAAAAAATTGATGAAAGTGTAAGAATGTTAAACAAGATATTCGGCTAAATTGGGGTTACGTTAAGAAAAGTTTAGGATGAGGGTTAAGCTAGGAATAAGTTAAGGCTAGGTTAAAGTTAGGTCACAGAAGGTTAGAGTTAAGTGGTATTAAATTTTGGTCAGTTTAAGGGAAAATGAGCGTTACAGTTATGTAAGGAATATATTAGGGTTAGGTTTAGGTTAGAGTAGAGAAAAATTACACTGTATTCAGTTTGGAATTCTGATTCATTTTCAAGCGTGATTAGTTGTCTCAAAGTCATTGGTTCATTCTAATCATCTGGATCGCCATTCTTTAACTTTGTCAGAATATCATTTCCGACTGAAGTTCTGATTCATATAGACTTACTAATTGATTTTAGATGGCAAAGGTTGAATATCGAAAACCCAGGCTCATTTAAAACAAGTACTACATTTTAACTGCTAGTATAGAATAAATATACAAGTTATAAAACGATATCCAGTTAATTATCTCTTATAATGTACACTAAAGCCATAACTGGGGACGTAATTTAAACTTCTTTTAAGACAAAAATATATTGGATTCCTACCATGAGTATGTATATACATAAACTTATTTCTACTTACTGCTACATCTCAGCCTATTCTCAACGTAGTGCAGTGTGATGTGCGCAAAGAGCTATGACAAATAAAAACTGGTCGATGTTACAAGTGTAATTAATTTCAACTGATTAAAAATGCCCATTAACACTTTCAAAAGAATGGTTACTAAACAGCTTCTACACTTATATATACATTATAGTGTTCAGTAACCATTCTTTTGACAATTAATTTTCCATATTCATATCAGTTTCTTTACACAACTTCATAATTTGCCTTGTATAATTTTTAATGCAATTCTTCATGTATCTGACTTTCATTACTTTGTTTCTATCTCGTATATTTTGCGTTGTATTATTATTGTTTCCTTTAGTTTCTAGAGAAACATAGAGCTTCAGCCGCACGTCTACATTGCATTTGATTCTCTCTCAACGTTTTCACCTGGCTCCACTTCTGCCAATATACTTTCATCTCCTTTTCAAATGACCTCGATGTAACCCTTGGACGACCAACTCGCCGCTTCCTATTCGGGTTCCACTCGAGTGTCTGTCCTTTTATGTCACTTGATGGTTCTCTCAGAGTACGGCTAATCCACCTCCATTTCTTCCTGCGTATTTATTGCACAATCAGTTCCTGATTGGTTCGCTCCCAGTGATCCCTGTTGCTAATCTTTCCTGGCCATCTAATCTGGGTATTGAGCGAAGACAACTGTTAATGAAGGTCTGAAGTTTGTTGGAGATACTCTTTATGACTCGCCAAGTTTCTAATCCGTATCATAACACTGACTTTACATTGGTGTTGAAAATCCTCATCTTGTTTTTCATTCTGAGTGCTGTTCACCTCCACACAGACTTGAGAGTAATGAAAGCTTGTCTTGCTTTTCCGATTCTGGCTTTGATATCCTAGTCAGTTCTGCCTGTGGTAGGTGAGGAGGTTGTTTTTTCAGGTTCCTCCCATTTATGCTGGCTGATTTTTGTCTGTTTTGTTGCTGTTGGTGTTGCCCAGGAATCTTCATCACATCTGTTTTCTCTATGTTCACCTGTAGGAAGTCCTATCTTTGATGCTTCTTCTGACCAACTTGTTGCTTTTCACTTCCATACCTTCCAGTTTGTGGGAAATCAGACATATATCATCGGAAGGTCCAGATCCTCCAGTTTTTTCTGTGGGTCCATTTTACTTCTGTCTCCTCGTTGCCGGCTGTCTGTCGCATTATCCAGTCTACCGCAATCAGGAAAATCATTGGAGAAAATAGGCAGCCAGTTTGTCTTACTCCAGTCTTCACTTCGAAGGATTCCGTGAGTTTCCGGCTGCGGATTACTTGGCACGCAGCATTGTCATACAACTGTTGGATGAGATCTATAGCTGCTGGCGGCTAAATCACCTCTCGATCGACGTTGTCGAACGCCCTTTCAAACTCAATGAAGTTGAGACACAGAGCTAACTGCCATTCCAAGTCCTGTTCAATGATGATCTGCAGTGTTGCGATTTGATCGATGCATGCCTTCTTCTTCTTCCTTAATCCAGCTTGTTCCGGTCGAATTTTTTCATCCAGGGCGTGTTTGATTCTCTCCAGGATGATGAAGCTTAGTACTTCGTTTGGGATAGAGTGGGGCGAAATTCCGCGCCAGTTCTTTCATCGACCTAAGTCCGGACACTGGATGCACTGGACAATCTTTTCTTTCACCATCCTTCTCTCTTCTATTAGTCTCCATGTGTCCGTAGTGAGCCACTGTTTGTCTTGTCTCTTTTTTCTGCCTAGAACTTCCATGCACGTCTGACTCTAAACCGCTTTCACACTGTCCCAGTGCTTTTCAACGCTGATCTCCTCGCTGGTGTTGATTTGTGTCTCCGCCTTTTTTCTTATTGCTGTAGTGAAGATATCCTTTGCATCCTGACCCTTCAGATTTTGAGTATTGAACTTGGCTTGTGGTCTGTCGGCAGCTCCTGTTTCTTTATAATATTTTAGTTTGATTTGAAGTATTCTTTGCACGAGATAGTGGTCTGAGCAATGTCTGCTCCTCTTTTCACTTTTGTGTCCAGTAAGCCGTGTCTCTACTTCCCTCAAATTGAGATGAAGCCAATTTGGTTTCTGTTTCGCCCGTCTGGTGACACCCATGTAACCGTGTGGATATCACAGCGCTTGTATACGCTGCCGCCAATCACTAGTTCATTGAAAGCACAGAAGTCACCAAAAAGTCCTCCATTTTCATTCCTTTCTCCGAGAACTTCTCTACTCATAATGAGTCTTCTTTCTGTGTTGTCTGGTCCCACTTTGGCGTTCATGTCATTCATTGGTATTTTGACGTCCACTTTTGCCTGTAGTTGTCTGCAGAACTCTTCTTTATTTTCGAGGTCTGCGTTCTTCGTGGGTGCATAGCATTGTATAACTGACACTTTCCTCCTTTAAGTTGAATCTGGCGATCATTATCCTGGGCGAGATCGCCTCCATTGCATCAAGCCCTTCGTTTTCGTTGGTGATATCATTAAAGCCATACCCTCGGTGTGCATGTGGCTGTCTTCTGGGTGACCGGAGTAGACTATCGACTCTCCCGTTGACAATTTGATCAATCCACTCACACTCCATCTGCTTGCGCATATTCCAAGTACTTGAATTCCATATCTTTTCATCTCGTTTGCAATCTGAACAGCTCTGCCAGTCTCATACATGGTGCGGACATTCCATGTCACCACACAGACTTTTTCTTTTGTCGCAAAGAGACTCTAGTTCTGAAGTTTCCGTAGCAACGTTGTGTACATGGTGGGGTTGCTAGCCTCACGCTAATATTTTACGTTGATTGAATGAAAAATTATTCATTTTACAGTTTTCAAATTATTTAGGATAGTAGGTATTAGGCTCACATTAATACTCCCATCTTGCTGTACAATGTAGGTCCAGTCATCCTAAGTGGGAATCAACAGAAGACTATGCCTTAAAACCGCTCTTAAATCCTGTACTACGTATCGTAGGTAAACTAAAGCCATTTGTCGAGTAGTTATACATCTTCTTAAGAGCGATAGGATAATTGGTTGCACCATTCAAACAGCTGAAGTAGACCTTTTAAATAAAATTGATCGCTATCATTGTGAAAAGCCTTCCAGAGCCAACATTTTGGATGAACAACAGTTTAGTTGTCAACCGTATCTCATTTACTTGAGTTGAGAAAAGGAAATGTTCCAGAACTGTTCCTTCAGCCACACCACGCTTCACAAGCCGCCATGACGACACGAACCCGTTAAACCTCCCTCTAACTCTGTGTCTCTTATAACTAAGAAAGTCGAAAATCAAGTCTCTTACTGCTTCATCAATCCCAAAATCAATTGAGTTTAGCAGAAGACAAAGATGGGGAACCTTACCGAAAATCTTGCGAAAGTTTACAAATGTAGCATCTACCAAACTACTACCATCGACTCTGTAATGCAAATTTTCCCATCGGGATGAAGTTTGGTCAACCAAGAATGACTTCATCGACAGCTATTCTCACCATCGCCGGAATAATATTATCAAAGCTAATTTTCCTAGCGGTTTAACTCCATAGTAATTAGGCTAACAACATGGAAATACTCCACTGAATTTATAAGTCTGGATTTAGCTAAGGTAAAAATGGTTGACCCTGAGAATATAGGCAATTTAGAAAAAAGCTCAGCAATTGCTCTGCATGCATGAACACACAACCACACAATAGGGTGGGACAGGGTTAAGATTCTAAGAAGTAACCTACGTAGGTGGTGTGAGAGATTAATTACTGAATCCCAACACATGCAACAGAAATGACTCAATGGAAATACCAGAAATATGGGAGATATTATTACCGCCAGATAAATGAGAAGAAGATAATAAATAATCTCAAAATTGTATTTCAATTCACGTGCATCATGACATTCTAACGAGTTACTTATTATGACTATAAAAACACTCATCTTATTTCCCATTTGATTGTACTTGATTGATAACACTCATATTATTATTATATCTGAATGTACATTATCCCATATTGATTTCTATTCAAATATCTAGTCGATTCCACACGTGTATATAAATGAAGGAAAAAGTTGTGTGAGTAAGTGACTTGATATGATTATGAGCAATAGTTTGTGCTCGGAACGTCGTCATCAGTTAATGTTACTGTACAACACTGTGATTTATCAAAATAAAATCTGATCCATAGTGGAGATATACTCTACTACAGTGCCCAATTTTTATACTTATGTCTGGAGTCGAAGACAGAAGT